GCGCCCTCCTGAATACACAGTGGACCCACCGCAGTAACAGCTTGCTTCGGTGGTAGACTTTCTGAGGCTGCATCAGTTTTTGCTTAATATTTCTCGCCTAATTCTAGTTTTTGCATATGATACTCATGTTGGAAGTTTTTCCTGGATAACCTACATATTTCGCATTACGGTTTTCGCCATCCGAATTATGACAGAGTTTGATATTTGGAAGTTTCTTGAGCAGGCACTGTTCTCCTTTGATAGTAGTCGCGAACAGAGCTGACTTGTGGAGCCTGGTACTGAGTTCATTACAAAAGTACTGGCAACTCCACCCTGCAACTGTTTTAACAGTATGAGTCTGCTTGTGGGTGCTAAATTAGTGAAATCTTCCATTGCACGAGAACCACTGGTTTCTCAAATCGTCTACGTGGAGAAGTGGGAAAGAGAGGAAGTGGACTGGTGCCAGTTCGTATGATTCCCTTTGTTTTTGCTTCGTCCACGAACTGCAGATTATTGTTGTCTTCAGACCACTCCCACTGTTAGGCCAAAACATTCACGGGGCTTCTTATCGTGAGCACCTTCTCGGGTTAATAAAAATATTCAGACACCTACAACCAGATTCCTTCTTATGTTTCTTTGAGCAGAAAAACCAGGGAATCGGTTAGAAAAGTCAAAATTAATGGTATTGTAATTGCGAGAAAGTGGGAATAGATTGGTCGTCGCAGTGCGACGCACTTCTTAGTATATGTGAAAGTCTGAGGAGGCCGTTGTTTCCCACTATTCCACGCAGCCTTCCAGGTGCTCGGCCCAAACAACGAATGCAGATTTGCAACTCGTAAGGTTGGAATGGGTGTAATACCTTCATCCAATTCTGGATGAACGCGGCAAACTGCACGGCGAAATCCGTGGTGATTTAAATGCACGGTTGACGATAAAAATGGTTACTGCACTCTTTCCCGTGGAATACTCAGTGGCCCTCACGGGTAATAGAAAGGACCCCCTCGCGCCGATCTAGCGCGGCCTTCACGCCCCTCGATCAATGTCGCATCAGGCGAGCGTCGAAGCGATACAGATTGCAATTATTCGTTCTAAGACCCACCCACAATCAGTTGATAGCCGAGTGATGAGACGATGTTTTTCTTCCATTCTTTTATTCTCTGTTATTCTTTTTGCTGCTGCGATCCATCATCTGATTTTCTACTCCAGGAATCAATAAAAGTGGCTTATTTCTGCTGTTACTGAGGTTTCTTTGTTTACTTATGCTTATGAGTGAATGAATTTTTGCTTACCGTAATCAGCTATGCGCACCAGGACCCACACATACGCATTAGGACACATTATGCAGCTCGTCCAATGCCCCACTCTTCTTCACTTTTCTGGTCTCTTTCTCGTCCAGCCCCATTTTTAACGATTTTTCAAAGCCTTTTTCACTTTGCAAACACCGATTCACGCAGCTCCTTCGCTTTCGTCGCACTATTTACCATCTGATCTTACATTTTTTGTCATAAATTGGATTACCCAAAATTATCGTGTACTGTGTGTGCCTTTAAACGACTCTGGCGCCTATCATTGGGGCACATGCTTCAAGTGGAGTGAATACTTAGGGCCAGCTGATGCTACTTATCTACTCTACTTCAAATTTGTGCCCCAATGATAGGCACCAGAGTAGTTGGAATCACCAAGAAGTTCGCCGCGCAGTCTGCCACGTCTATCCAGAATTAGGTAAATGTTCCTTCTTCCGGTTAGAACTACTGTCCTCAAATGTACTCCTACTAAGAACAACTCTAACTCAGCAAAGTCGAGAATTTTTCGGTCTGTGCAGAGTGCAAAGCCCATAGACGGAATATGCTCTCTTATCATTGGCATCCTCATTCGGGTTATTGAAACCCTACCTAGAAATGTTGCTCAGTGGGTCAATTCTTGTTTCATAAAACGGTTGCAGCTCTCACCGTCGTTACTTTTGAAATCGAGATCGTTTTGCGAGCTGTTTCCAGACGACACCATACTGTAGCTATTGTCCACCTTAACATTGTTGGTGCTGCAGCGTCAGTCAACTTTCACAAATGATATGATCATAGTTATTCCAACGTGTCTGCTACCTATCGTGTTCATGTAGGGAAAGAGGATGTGGGAAGTACCTAAGCATCCTGATGCGTTCATCGCCGTCGAGTATCAAACAAGTTCAAAGAGCATTTGATGGTTGCTTTGAGCCCACAATGGAAAGAACAGAATTGAATTCGATGCCGTCAAATTAGTACCGAAGGTCTGACGCGTGAGCCTACGGATGTGTCCTCCGTGAAGGGATCTGTGGTTTAGTACAGCACCTCTGACATCATAGTCGCTCCCTCTGGCCTATTTCTACTCCAACCCATTAGAACACATATTATATCAAGCTCCGGATTGGTACTCGTTCAGACCAACCGCCCAACTAAGGCTTTCGTTACTCTGGCTTCATTTTTTCAAAACAGATTCTTTTAGTAGGAAAGTGCTGACTTGCATATCGGATGGTACCACAAGTCGTTGTCTAAAGGTGTTAACATGCGTTAAAATGCCATTATCATAATTCCGATTGGAAGTTTAATGTGTAGTACGTGCTTAGCTGAATGAATCTGTGTCCAATCATAAAAACAGTTAGACAGTAGATTAAATGGGAGTGAAATTGTAGTTAAGGGGGNGTATATGTGAAAGTCTGAGGAGGCCGTTGTTTCCCACTTTTTTCGGAAAATTCACTTCACGCAGCCTTCCAGGTGCTCGGCCCAAACAACGAATGGGGGGGAAGGGGGGGGGACACCACCCCATCCAACACTGGGCCCCAGAGCGCATTGAATGAGGAGTAGTCGGCCTTGTGCTTACCATTAGAGAAAGTTTTCACGCGAAGGAGTATGATTTTTACCTAAGCCTCAAGAGGGAAGAAACACCGGGGTAGGTGATTACCTTGGGCAAAAAACTGAGATAGGGTAAGAATTGATCATCCAATTGACTCACCTACCCTGGTGCTCCTCTTCTTGAGCATAGAATTGAAAAACTATATTTTCTTGGCTGATAAGTAATCAGAGCAACATTATAAGCTCGCGAAGCCATCTACCTCTCTTTTTCTCTTCTTTGAACTTAATGTTCAATGTCAGAAAAGACATGTGCCTCCACTTCATGTTCACCCGAACGGGAAATCTGAAAAGCTTTGGAGCATTCCGCAATCATTTATTCTCATCTGGCGTATGTTGTTTTCTCGTTGCTTATCCTATTACGATTAGCAATAAGTTGTTCATACTTTTCAGAATGGTGAGATATTGGAAATCATCACCGAGATTTCAAGGTTTGTCATTACATATTGCCTTGGTACTTTACAAACATCAAAAATTCGCTAATGATGAGAGAGTTTACGTACTATAATCCCATCCTCCGATGTTAGAAGAGTTCAGCATCAAAGCTAATAAAATCATGTTGAATTGCAATAAGTGCAAACTACCTTTTTATTTGTTTCCATTTTTTTTTGTGCTTTTCATTTGCTCATGTTCTGCAGGGCTCTGTCTGGGCCAATGCATTGTTCCCACCCAATCATATTGGCACAACATATCACGCGAAGGATTTTTTACATTTCGCTCGCAGAGCCCAATTTAGTTGGAGAGACGTGGCTTTAGGATGCCTGAAATTCGAAAAAAGGTTCGAAGGCTTTTTATTTTAATGAATCTGCGGTTCAATAAAATATGGTGGCATGGTGCATTGGTCGCCAATAATGGTTTACGTTAGGCCCGAAAGTGTTGACCACATGACGCCGATGACCACGCCTAGAAACGGACGTGTTAACCCGCCTTGTAGAGGCTGTACACCTGTATGCGCTCACCGTTTACATTCAGTTGCATTGTTGACAATGCAATCAGCTGATTGCTTCTTCAAGAATTTCCACCTGTGGTACACGCTTGACTTTTGCTGTCGAGTTTGAACGGTCTAGATAGGGCGCAGTAAGGGCTCAAAGAACTTTTTGATGTCAACACCTAAAAGTGGACGAGTTTCAACGGAATTGTAGAGGCTGCACCATTCACAGGGACCCCGTGTTGGAGAGCATTCCGTAGAACCTTCGGTGGCTGTGGAAGATAACTTTGGTCTTTGGTAAGCACTTTTCTGTTACAACCGCTTCTGCTTTTTAATTTAAAGGGGGGAGGGGGGAACGTGCGTTCGTCGTTAGGGCGAGCATTCTAATTGGATGCTTGTTCCCTTTCTAAGAAAAGGATTAGTTTTGTTTTATCGAGCTACAACAGGCCTCTCACAATCAGATTCATTTCGCTCCTATTATTCATCTACTTTTTTGCTTAGCATTTCTTATTTTTTATTATTATCCATCTCTCCGCAGCCGGTTAACTGGAACCAGACTCGTCTGGGAGGATAAAAGCACTGCCTTGTACATTGGCTGGTCACCGGAAGTCGTTGTACTCGCCACATACGCATTCAGTACGCCATTACGATTCTGAATGGATGTCGAATGTGTGGGCACATTCCACATAAGACTTTAAGACATTCTGACATATTATCTCGGTTGAAGAAGAATTTGGAATGAATTTGAACCAGTTTTGAACAGTGATTTATATGCCGTAACCAATATTGATTTGTTGAGGTTCCCAGCTATGATTCATTTGTTACCCCTACAGGTACTGATCTGATAAGGGGATTGAGTCAAAAGTTCCTAAAAATCCATATTTTTTCCTCCTTGTCCGACGGGTGGTCTGCTAGAGCACTGGTCCCTAAAGCCTCAACTTACAAAATATNATCGATACAGTAAATGCTAATGCTCAGATACTGTTTCAGAATGTTGTGTCCTCTATCCTACCTTTTATTTTTCTCGTCTTTAACGAGAAGAGCTCTCCAAGAAACAAAAAAAGGTTTTTTTTTCAAAAGTGACATAAAAGATAACGAGGGCTCCTGGAGAAGACCTCTGAGACAGAGAGGAAGTTAAGGAGTTAAAAACAAGGTCACCAATTTTTTTAGGAGGTCAGTGGAATTCCTTAAAAGCCACGACGTCAGCTGTGATGACTCTTGCCGTCGTATCCACAATATTCTTTATGTATCAAGATTCACAAAATGTGTACTTTGCCGAGCCTCAGGTTTGTGATGGTGTTTTGTAATAAACTTTTCTTTTATATCTCTACGCCTCTACGCGTTGGAGCTTGTCTGTCTGCCCCTCTGTCACTGAATCTACTACAACCTGAAGAAACACCCGTACAGGCTGGATTAGGTTTTGGTTGGGATGGGCGTAGTGTAAAAGTAGCAGAGCACAAACCGTTGCGAGCTCAGCAGAGCTGCACTCACATGGGAGGAGACATGCACTGACCTCGAGCGATGCCAAGAGTAATGTTTCTTTTGGTTTTTTCATTTTTTCCTAATTTGGTTTCATAACAACCGAGACGCCCGGGAACTTTGAGCGATGATGAGTCATGTGTCAACAAATGTAGTGAAGGAGATCGACCAGCGGAGAGAGGAAAGTTCTCACAATGGGTGCTTTACCATGAATTCGTAACTCAATTCAATGAAAGCGTGGAGGCCAGAAAGAATAAAAGGAGAGAGTGAAATTCGGTAAGCACTATGCATTCTAACCCCAGCGAACTCCACCTACGATGGGCGGGGTGTGCGCTGAAGTGGAAGATACTCTCGAAAAAAAACATAACTCTGTTCAAAAACATTCTAGAAAGCGCAAAAAAGTGGTTATAGGCTATGGTAGAAATGTAGACAACTTCTCAAAGTGTCGTGAGTTTACACCAAGGAGGCGGGGCCACGGTCGTGATTTCATAACATTGCCCAGAATCACTTTAGATGCGGAAAAAGTGGTCTGAGGCTATAGAACGAATGTAGTCAGATACTCAAACTGTAATGGGTTTGCACCGATGTGGGCTGGGTTAAGATTATAGATTCATAAGCTCATTCGAAACGATCTAGATCCAGAAAAAAAAAGTGCATTGAGGAGTTGAAGGAAGGATGGTCAAACCTTTCTCGGAACCGGAGCTGAGGTCTAAACTTCACAGTTCCGTGCACAGACGTCGGTAACATTGCTAATCGCTCTATACGTAAATCATTACCACTACTTACCACCTAGGGAAGCATAATCTTAAAGTGCAAAATGTAAAGTATCCGCTTTTGTCTCTACATTTATCCGTCACGAAATTCCTATTACCCGTAGAAGCACCTGAAGAGGTCTGGTCGTGTTTGAGATGGGCGCGAGAGCCTAGGGTTAGATAAGCAGAGCACCTAAGGAAAATCACAGGAAGCGGAACATGTGCCGAAATGGGTCATGCGATGGACAAAACTTCCAGATGGTTTATTTATTAATTCCACTGAGTGGAAATGATAATGATTTGGCAGGAAACCTAGAACTCGTTCACACAAATTAAATTTGAGCCCAATCGACAATAGTAGTCCCCTGGATTACTATAGTTGATTGGGCTCAGATTTAATTTGAGGTCGTATGAATAAAAGAATATGGAAAGAGATGAACAGAAAGGTAATCCTGTTTCAGTACTGTGCTGGCAACTGCAGAACTATGACAATATCCACACCAGTTGGCCATGGTGGCTCATTCCAGTAACAGTTGCGCCCAGACACGGGGAAAAATAAGCAAATATTAGGAATGGGACTGTTAGACTGTTAGAAG